GCTTTTGAGAGCAAGCTTTAACACTGGGCTATTCCCTCATGAGTTTAAACAATGGTAGCCTTATGTATGGATCTTACAGGAAAGAGCCAGACACAACACGTAAAGACAACTCCCTGGCAATCAGGTTCTGATGGGAATCCATCCTCATTACACCTGTGAAGACTGCCAATTTCCTGGTTTTTGCTGAGCATGTGTGCTTTTGTGTGTTAGGAATGTAGTAGTGATGGGAAGGCAAGATGGCAGTGGGTTATCTTAGACCACAAACCTCACTGTTCCCATTGAGACTCAGTGAGTATGCTTCTGAAACAGGCTTCTTGAGTTGATGTAAACCTTTTGCTAATTTTTAGGGTTTTGAAAAAAATCAACCTGATAAATTTTGCTGATTTTGTCATTGCCATGGTGGAGGGAAGAATTTACAGGCTTCAAAGTGTTGCTTTTCACTAATGTTATTTTAGCAGATTACTTTGGAATTCCACTTGGCATTACCTACTAAAATTTATTATGTGGCTAGCCTAGAAACTGGACATTCTTGTAATACATAGTTAAAAAGGGAGCATGTTCAAGTGTTCATGCAGTATTCTTCAAAGAGCAAATGCTGGCAATAACAAAAACACTCAACAGAAGAATGAACTGATTATTTTTGTCCTACAAAGGAATATTTCATTACTCTAAAAATGAGTGAGTTATAGATACATATTCATAGGCATGCATCTTTATGGCATGATTTTAAGTTGAAGGAAACTAGAGTAGAATACATCAATACTATTCTACTTTTTATAAAGACTAAAGTGTTTTAAACTATAAAAATAAGTAAATGAGTGATTTTAAAAAACTCAGTAAATTGTTATGCCTGGTTCAAAAAGCTGGGAATGAGGTGGCTGTGGGTGCACATTAGTTTGATCAGCACACTGTTCAGATGAACAGATCATAGATAGTTTCTTATTTTACTGCCTTTTGAATTTAGAAGTACTTTTTTGTCTTTTAAAGATTTATTTATTTTTACTTTATGTGTATGAGTGTTTTACCCATATATTTGTATTGCATTACATGCCTATCTGATTTCCTCAGGGGTGCAAAGAGGGCATCAGATCTCCTGAAACTAGAGTAACAGGTAGTTGTAAGATGCCAGGTTGGGGCTGGGAACCAAACCCAAACCCTCTTAAAGAGCAGTTGTTGGTCTTAACTACTAGGCCGTTTCTCCCGCCCCATCTTGTCTTTTCGTATGTATCAAGAAATTCTAGCAATAAAAAAGAGGACGTGGGCCATCTCCCTGTGCTACACAAAGGCCCTGATGCACCCGTTGGAAGAAAACAGAAGGCTGTGAAGTTTGTGGACTTTACTGTGTACAGGATCTAAGATGATTGGTTGAAATCTTTAAGGCAGTATTCTACCAAGGGTGTTTGCTTCAAGAGAACTCGGTGAGCATGAGGGGCACACTCCAAGCAAACCAACCTCAGTAGTTACTCAAAGAAAGTTATCATAGCAACATAACATTGCAATATGCACTCAAACATGAGAGAAATCTGCCACATGATCAGACATTTTGTCTTTTTGCTGTCATTTCTGAATAAATTGTGCAGGTTGTTCAAGCATGTGCAGCATTTTCAAAGTATCAGCAAAGTAACTTGCTACAGGAATTCTTAAGAGATACTTACTGGGTATTTATTTAATGAGGTGAACAAATATTAACTGTGAGAGATATTTCTATATTCCAAGTATACTTCCTATAATGCCCTATAGAAATTCATTTTGAAGTAATTATTCTTCTGGTACACCAAAAATTCCAACATTTTCAGAGTGTTTGTCCATTGGTACCAGAAACCTATTTGGGGATCTGTAGATTTGAGGAATTATATGTGTATATGTGTGTTTTTAAAAACCCAGAAAACTTTGAAACATCTCATAATTTCCACTCTACTCCGCTGATTATTTCCATTCTGTACTAAAAATATACCAATTTACAGCTATAGTTTGCTGCACGTGTTCTATTTAAACGTCAGTTTGGAGGCCTTCCCCTCTGCAAGATTCATTTTTGTAATTCTTCTGGTTCATTAGTTTCTCCAGGCAAAAAAGGACAGAACCTCTCAGAACTGAGGAAGACAAGCAAGGTCAAAGGCAGCTTCAAGGTCGACCCAGGTTACTTTTCTTTGTTGCTTTTCTTCTTCAGTATTTTCTAACCAGCTTTCTCTCCTCTGCTGTCCCCTGATCCCCCTCCAGCTCATCTCAGTTCCTAACATACCCAGTCCCACGATTCTTAAAGAAAGCTCTTAATTCTTTTTATATTTTCCAAGATAAATTAGCACTATCTTAAAAGTAATATTATACTACACCAGTGGTATTTCATTAAAGTTTAGACTTTCTAAGAAAATGGGCAAAATGTGTGAGATGACAGAAAATGACCCCCCAAAAGTGGTGGGGGTTTTAATTCTTTTTTTCTTTTTCCTTTTGGTATTTATTACCATGGTATTGCTTACCAATGTCCTAAATTAAGCCTCCCAATTTCCTTCTTGGATCAGAATGAGGTGAACCCATAAGCCATGAGCAACAATGCTCTTAGCCAGTAGGCTGGACAATTACAGCTGTGACAGGTGAAATGAAGGGAACTTCCGGTTGACTAGGGCTTCACAAATGTGGCTCTAGCTTAGTATTTTTTAATTCTCACTATGCCAACAAATCATTTTTGGTTTCTGCATTTCCAGTGTGATCTCCCAGTCCCCAAATCAGTACCCATCAGGGGTTCATTTGTGGCTGTCAGCATGGAATCAGTTCCTATTATGGTCCTGTCCAGCTTGGATTTTCTTTTTTTCTGTTTTCCTTGACAATCAGAAGGATAGCTCCAGAGTATGAAATGCTCACCAAAGCAAGGTGGAGGGACTTGGAATGCTCACTTATTTTGTGTGCTGAAGGTACATAATTGAGACTCGACTCTGCTTTTCTCATCTGCAAGCAGCTCAGTGTCAGTGTCGACACTGTGGACAACTTCCAACCTCTTCAGACCTGCTTGGTGGCAGGTCAGGAAACCTGCTCAGAGTAGTTCCATCACGTTCCCAGTGCCTTTTCTTTACCTTCTTTACTTTTTCTAAAACCATGCCTGCTGACTGTTTAGAAAAGAGGAGAAAAAGCATCTGTGGGAATCCTTGTTCTTAACATAAATAGCACTTGTTAGCACAGCTGGTGGTCAGTGTGTCCTTGGTACACTGTGTTGACACGTTTTTGTAACTGCCCATTTGAAATGACTACCTGCTAAAAATGGAATTAAGTTTTTATTTCATTTTCTTCATTCATAAATTTGTGAATTCTGCACAGCCTAAGTAAGGACAGTCATGATTTTCTTGACTGTATGCATTCTAATTAAGAAGGCTTCTAAATTATCAATTAATTTGTCTAAACTTAAAAGCAATTAGGAATCATGAATGCTAACATAAAAATTCCCTTTGACATCAAGTGTGGGTATGGAAACAACACAACATTAAAAATTAGAATATGTAGCCAGGGTATTATTGCTTGTGACTTGAATTCTTTTGAAAACAAGATCCTCAAATATTCTTTAAATACGTCCACTTATCATAATACATGATGCCACTCAAATAAGAGTAATTATCCCGAAGGAATTATAGGGGACAGCAAAGCCTGTCTAGAAAGCTGAATCCCTCTGACCTTTTAATTTATCTTTTGCAAAGATAAAGCCTAAAAATTAACCACTACATTCATTAATCGCCCCATTAATCCCCCAGATGAGCAGTTATGTCCCGAGGCTAAATCTGGTCAAATGCACACAGGCATTTCTTTAAAAACAACAAAACCCTGTAACCTACCGCATCCAAACCTTATTTCTATAAATTCTGACTTCTGGGAAAGATGACACCACAGTTTTCAGTGCCACGCCACCCTATATTTGAAATCACAAGACTCAGGTAGAATTTGAATAAAAATTCATTTAACATTAAGAAAAACAATTCTATTTAGATTTTATCTTAGATTTACAAAACTCACAGTGCATATGTTAGTGGTCATAACACATTTCCCTCAAGCCTCACAACTGCTAAAAATACCAGATCAATCACCATTCCAGATCACATTATGAAGTGTGTGAGCTAGTGCCTTAAAAACTGTGTTAGCACCAACATAGTTTATTGGGGTAGCTACACTCAAGACGCACATGGCATACCTTTAAATAGCACTGTTAAAATACCAAATAAAATGTCAATGTCTGTCAGGTCTCTGGCTTTTATAAATTGTTTAGACTGGAAACGTTGGGGTTTGGACATTGTTCTTTTCATACGATGTAGAAAAGAAGAGACCATAAAAAGAAAAGAACAATAAAGCATAGCTCATTTTTGAAGTTCTTTCATGAAAAAACATACTTTGGTTCATTACCCTCCCAATCAACAATTTCCTCCCAATCCTTCCCTCTGTGTTGACTTTTTCCCCCTCCTCTCTCTGGGTGGTATTCTGAGCTTACACATACTACTCAGTAACTGTGGTTTTTAAGTCACTTCAAAAGAGAATGTCAGGACAGCATCACAGATTTTATACAGACACACACACACACACACACACACACGCACACGCACACGCACATGCACACACACATACACACACACGCACACGCACGCACACGCACACGCACATGCACACACACATACACACACACACACACACACACGCACACGCACACGCACGCGCACGCACACGCACACGCAAAGCACATGGTATTTTTAACATGGACCAAGGTTTTGCTCACCCTGTCTATGGTCTTACAAATCTACCAGTATGCTCTGACTACAGAACATGCCAGAGAGGAGGAAGGCCCTTCAGGCAGGGCAGTATCTACCTACTTACAGGGGAGTTCTGCTCACACCTCAGTGGCCATCTCCTTGCCCTCCTCCCTCCATCTCTTCCCTTTATTGACACACTACACCACCCCACCCCCAAACAACAACATCCCTGTTTCAGCTTCTCCTCTGGATTTCCCACACTTAATGCAACCCAGACCTCACCTTCAGCTCTCCTGAGGCCACTTTGGAAGCCAGCTCAATGACACAGCCAACAGCCATGCGTGCAGCACCGGACGAGTGCAGCTCATTCCAAACGGTGTCACTGTCCACCTGAGCAAACAGTCAGCAGGGTCCAAAGAAGGAGAGAAAAGGAAAAGAGAAGAGAAGGGTGAGAAGGGGGTGGGGTGGGGGAGGGGAAAAGAGAGAGAAAACAAATCTCTGAGGAATGGCTGGCAGGCTAAAGCCTATGTACAATAACATTAGTCTTCAGTCCTGGCCAGCTGAAAAGGCCTTCTGGACATGGCTTTGCAATAGACTTTTCTCTGCACTGAATTCTCCAATGGAAACACATTCCTGCCATGCCTCACTGCCATTCTCTGTTTAGATTTCTCATTACAAACAGCATTACATAGGCTGGATCTGGCTTAGGTACAGACCTGCTAAAATCCAGGCCCCAGCAGTAGGTAGAGCGAAAACCAAAAGCACTTAGTTAGACATAAAAATCGGATTTGCAAGTGCTGGAGGGAGAAAATACCATTCTGACTGCAGGTTTATCAGGAGCCAATACCACTCTGATTGCAGGTTTATCTGGGGCCAAAGACAGGGTGTAGGCAGGTAGCAGTAAAAAGCAGTAATCACAGGCTCAGCTCCAAGAATGGAAGGGACTTGTGGACCTCACACTTAGAAGTTAGAGAGATTCGGTTTACAAAGGAGAGACTTCATTCTTCTAGCACAGGTTTGAGATTGGTTTTCAGTGCACGCTGGTTCTGCACTAGAGCAGCATCATGGAGGCATGGCCTAGCACTTGTTTAGAAAATGCCCTTGGTCCTTTTCCACACACACAATAAGAATAGATATATTAAGAATATTAAATGTGCAGTAGTAGTGGTTTTAATTATAATGTATGTTACATATATTATGTATAAACTATTTCAAAATATTGAAATGTCAGCATCAATTGACAGGCAGCTCTGATCTCAGATCTCAGAGTATCTAAACCATATGAAGTGTTAAGAAATGAGATTAAATGTTTGTGAATGTAACTATCAAGTCTTTGCAGATGGGCCAAAGAGAGGATTTCCTGGGCAAAACAAGCTTTTGCTTTAAAAAAATTGAGAATAAATCTAAGGTCAAGTCATATAGGAAAATGAAATAAATAAAAACAAAGCATATTTACAAAATACTAATTGGTTTCCTGAGTAATGTCATATCTGTTCTTTTGTCACTTAGCCATTATTGACTTAAATCATGGCAAGTTGTCAACAATAGAACCAATAACATAATCATATTTTCTCAAGAAGTATTGGGCACATAGGTGTTCAACGGACACTTGAAATTCTTCAACCTATCTAGACAACTGTGACCCCCAAGTTGTCAATGAGAAATACTAAAATCATGAGAAACTATATAACCATGCAGATAAACATAAATATACACACAGAAAATAAGGTCATCTAAACAGGATGACTGTGAAGAGAGAAGCTTTTAAAGCCACAGTCTGTTAGGGAAACATCATAACCTTATTATTAAATCTGAGGTACACTGAGCCACTAATTAAATTCTGTGACCTGATTTGCTTATCCATGAAACTATCTTGAGTATCATCTGATAGTTCAGAGGTTAACAGCACATACTGTTCTTCCAGAGGATCTGAGTTTGGTTTCCAGTAACCACATGGCACATATTCACACAAACAAACCCACAAAGACATAGAAAAAAATAAATCTAGAATACCATCTGCATATGACTGCTCCAAGGCTGACTAAGGAGGTAATAAACAAAGGGTGGTTGCTTTCATTTCAGCCACTGTTACACATGTGCACCAGGTACAACTGAGCACTTGGGAGTGCTTCATGGACCAGTGTGGACATCACCACACACCTACTGCTGTCACCGCTCAGTCTAGATGAATGAGCGTTGGAACTGAGAATTTAAATAAAGGCATATCACTGAATCCAAAAAGGCCAATCTAGACTGAATTACCACATAGCTTCTAAGCACCTTGTTTGTTAAATTTGGAATAAGCATTACTTATTTCTATATATTCTTATAGCACTTGGAAATTTCCTTCTAAAAATGTTAAATACTCCATCAGGTTAGAAATATTAGCTGTTTCTGGGTAGTGGTGGCAGCACACACATTTAATCCAGTCCTTGGCAGGTAGAGGCAGGTAGATCTCTGTGAGTTTGAGGCCAGCCTGGTCTACAGAGTGAGTTCCAGGAAAGCTAGAGCTACACAGAGAAACCCTGTCTCGAAAAACAAAAACAAACAAAAAAAGGAAAGAATTATTATCTGTTTTTTCAAATGGGAACAATGTTGGATTAGCCACAAGACTAAAAGGCTTTAGGTTACCACATATATTTTTGTGTGAAATCCACCTACCTGTTCACACCCCTTCTGCTTCCTGGAAGTATTTTGTATTGATAAATAATCTGTGTCCATACAATTAATGTTGGTGCATATAATAGTAGTGGTGACAGCTTGATTTCAATTTAGCTAACATCTGTCTCATACCTAATATGAGTTGTAATTTGGGGATGTTTTTGTAGTAAAGATAAGGTTACTGTTCTCAAAGCATGGTCAATGGATTCTTGAGATTTTATGACTTATATCCAAAGTTTTGCTTATCTCAAATACATCCTCTTTTAGGAATCTATGATATTTCTCACTCTTTAATTTATTTATACTTAAGTATATAGGACATTTATGTAAGAACTACTTGAACGTCTGTTTTATGTACAGTTTATAATTAAGTGGTAAAAATGAACAAGTTTTGCACATATAATCTGATGACTGACTTCTAGATTTATGAGTAGGTTTCTTTTACTCAGTGATTTGACTGTGACAACACATCACAGGCTGGGGAACTTAGATGGCTCAAGTACATTTGCCAGCTAGTTTTTGCCTTGCAGCTGGCTTTCTGGGATGTTCTCACACAGCCGTCCCTTGCATTCAGGTTCCAATGCTTAGAAGGCCACTTGTCCTATCAGGTGAGAAACCCACTTTTCTAATTTCATTTACTCTTAATTATTTTCTAAATGCTTATTACTATCATTACTATTATGGGTTTTGGATTCATCATATTAATTTTGAAAGAATTTTAGGGATATCTCTATCCCAAAAGTTTGTTCATAAGTCAATTTACAAACACACTCCCATGACATCATGGTTCCAAATGGTGTTTCAGCTATGAAACACATCTCACATGTATTTCCACATCTTACCAGATCTCCCACAGAATAACTAGATACTCTGGTGGCCACATTAGCTAGTTAGCAAGATCTTGATGACATTAGTAACACATGCAAGACAGATCCTTAAAAGCAGAACCTCTGAACTTTAAAGTTATTGTTTTTCTTTCCATGCATATGAACTTCTTTATTCATTCACCAACTCACTTATTGATGAGTATGTGTTTGTGCATACATGTGTGTGGTATGTGTGAATGTGCACGGTATGCATGTATTAGGGGTAGTAGTACAGGAGTCAAAAGGGAGATTAGGCTTAATAAGGAGATAATGCAAAGACACAGACATTCAGAAAAGAATCAGCACCATGTGCATATAAATTAAAAAAATTATGTCAAAGGAAGATTGTTTTCTAATTCCTCTACATATGAAAATTGTGCTTGTTTGTCCCATATCATCTGTGTGAACGGGTTCTGTTCCCTGCTTCCCGAAATGATAGCTCAACTAATGGACTCTTTCCACCTGTGACTGCCTGACACCTAGCTCGCTGCTTAGATGGTGTATAAGAAATTATGGGAGGAAGAAGATCTTCAAAACTGTCCATTCTGGTCCTGGGAGATTAGACACAGGCAGATACAAGGGTATAATGGAGGCAGCGAAGCAGGGAGCAGCCTGGGAACAAATGAGGCAGCCACATAAATGACCAGGGAGGTTAACAACGTGGTTAAAGAGTAAAGACTCAGCGTTCGTGTTCGGCACTTACAGTGGTCTATACTGCACTTCGGGTACCACCCAATGAGGAGCCTATAGAGTAAGGTCAAAGGCCAACCAAGGGTCACATTCATGTGTCTCCTGTAGAGTGGGAGTGGGAGCTTGAAATGCCCAGGATCAACTAAGGCTATACTGCAAGAGAGTCTACAGAATCAACTAACTACAACTTATTCCACATGGAGTCCATGACAGCAGCTCAGGAGACCCTAATATGAGCTGAGCTGAGGTTGCTGAGCCCCAGTGGCCGAAATTCCAGGTTGTAGACAAGTCAGAAATCAGGGGTCAGTCCACAGGTGGCACAGTTACAAAGTCAGGAGACCAGGAACAATCAGGTTGCATAAGGAACCAGATTGCCATGGAAATCTGAATGTTCTGAGAACAGCATAAAGATTCAAGTCTCCATCCTTTCTCAGGCACCTGAATGTCACCTCTGGAGAAAAATCCAAGAAACTGAGCTATTGCTTGAATAGGCTTAAACCAATCATACATGGGTCTTAAAAAGATAGAATTTTTATCTGAAAAGAGGGGTTAAAAGTAGAAGAAACTGGTGTATTATTGATTGGGAAGATCAGTGTAACTGGGAGAAAAGGGGGAAATGTCCACTTGGCACTGTTGAGGGACACAAGGTCTTCTGCTTACTTTCCTTCTCATTTTTGCTTGTTTTGAGGTACAGTCTTGCTATGGGTGTTGCGATGATGTGGGAATCACAAATCACCTGCTTCGGCCTCCCAAGTACTGGGTTTAGAGGTGTTTACCACAATGGCTAGCTTTAGCTGTGTGATCTTATTGTTATCAGTGTTAATCTTGTATTATTGTGTATTGAATCCCCATGCTCAGCAAGTGCTCTACCACTGAGCTACATCCTCAACCTTTATCTCATTTTCAAGGACAGAAAACTACTTGGCTAGATCCCAGGAGAAAATATTTGTCCCAGGTTCTGAATGAAGTCTCTAAAGGCTATTCTATTATAGTGTTCTATTATTATTCTATGTACTATATTATTATTATTATTATTATTATTATTATTATTATTATTATTATTCTATTCTATTATACTATGTCCATTATAGATATACTCTAATGTATCTATATATTATTAAAGACAAGGGGGTATAATTGTATATTACAGCAAACAGAACAATACCCAAATTA